CCCCATACAGCTAGGCCACTTTCTTATGTTTTCATCCTTCCAGAAAAATAGTGAGGACCATTTCTTTTCACACAGAAAGGTGGATGTAGAAATGAAGTTGTATATGTATAATTATAAAGGCTGTAGTTACAACTGTGACATAGTCATGTCTCAAAATTTGAGCTCGTATTTTGGTTGTAAATTTATTCCTCCCTCAGTGAATTACTGATCCAGCCCACATTCTATTTGCTGAATTCATGTTAGCATAAAATAGTAGTTGTGCATGTATAGATTGAGGAAAAATACATGCCTTTAACTGCCTCTAGCTGGTAATAAAAGCAGTCTAAATAGGGAGATAAAGGCCTGAAACTGGAGCATAAAATCTGTTGACTCTAACCAGAATATCACCAGTTGGAAATAAATATTCCTTTCAAAGTGAAAGATTTACTCTGCCTACACTTAAACTGCAATAGTAAGCAAAGTGCTACCATAAAGCAGAGACTGAGTATGGCATTAGAATTTGCTAGGTTTAACATTTTTACTTCACAGCTTGTGTGACCTTGATTTTATCCTCTGAAATCTATTTTACACGAGCGTCTCAGCTGAGCTCAGAGAGCTTTATGAGGATAGCTTTGTGGTATATAAAACCAGAACAAATGTTTTCTGCATACGGTTTAAAGACTGCTTTCTGTTATGAGTCACTGTCATATTTAGAAATACTCTAAAATATACTCTAAATACTCTCATATTTAGAAGTTGGTTTTACTGGAAGACTTCTTCTTACTATAGAACTGCAGTTACTTTTGCCTTCAGAATGCATTGATTCAGAGGAACTTAGTAAGCCTTTCAGTCCTAATAGTTTTCTGTAGAAACCTGTAATATATTCTGTTTCCCATATTCATGTACAAATACAGGTTAAAATAGAAAACTGTATGTTAGAACCCTAAGGCCTTTAAGCAATGGCTATGTTTTTAAAGCCATTTGTAATGGCATTCATAAGGAACAAAAATCATCAAAGCCTTGAAGCACAGACAGTTCCCTCTTTTAATTAAGGCTTTGTTATTCTTCCCAACCTTCAGAGTTGGT